CTGCACATCTACTGCGCTCCTGAAATGCGGTAGACACGACCGTATCCTGCACGTCTACTGCGCCCCTGAGACGCGGTAGACACGACTGTATCCTTCACATCTACTGCGCTCCTGAGACGCGGTAGACTCGACCGTATCCTGCACATCTACTGCGCCCCTGAGACGCGGTAGACACGACAGTATCCTGCACATCTACTGCGCTCCTGAAACGCGGTAGACGCGACCGTATCCTGCACATCTACTGCGCTTCCTACACTCAAAAGAATGAGTGAGACTTGGTCCAAAAAGCGATGCAATTCTCGGCCATGATTGGGCCTTCCTGACCCAGTGCGGCCCTGCGATGTGGTGTATTGGTGCTACTGGCCAAAGGTGTGACTCTATTTGGACAAGATGACCGATTCGTTTCTCTGTGCGTAACCTCCTTGCGTAGGTAGCGCCCTACTGCAAAATGTGGGAAATTTCCCACCGTTAATTTCTATTCATGAAACTTAATTTACTTATAATTTGTTTGGGTAATTTTAAGAATTGTCTAGGGTAAGTTTAATGTTAGGGTAATTAAGGTCAGACCCGGGTTTCCGCACATGGAAGAGTTCGCACTGATACCCCACCGTAGCCACACTAAATTTCGTTATCTCCAGCCAGCCTGTCGTCTGCCGCCGCTACTTCACCAGCATTCAACCATAAGTCTAAATTTCTTCCTTGTTCTGTGATTTATCCATTCTTTGGTTTGATTGCCTGATATTCTTTCGTTTTGTTTAGTTCGCTCATATCTATGCTTAATTAACGTGTGAGATGCTTCGGACTTCAATTGTCTAATTTATTTCAATTCAACTTCAATAATTCAACATTAATTCGCTTTACCTTTATTCTTACTTCAACGCACCAATCTTCAACTATTCTTACTTTAATTCCGTCTGAAGCATCCACCTTCAACTGATTTCTTCTTTTTTTACCCAATGCAATTCTTCCGAAAAAGTGCGTAAGCACACTGAGTGGCATTTAATCTCAGGTAATTATTTAGTTTACCTTAACCTCGTATAAATTTACTGCTTATACGGTCCTTGCTCCTGCTTATACTGCTTTTTACCTTGTTTTCCATGATATTTATATTTAGAATAACTCAATTTCCATACCCAGTCAAGCAGCAATGTGGGCAACGAAGTCGATTATTGTGGTTTATGTCATAACGCGGAAGATCCGCCCACTCGATGGTTTGGCAGTCGAGTTTCCCTAAACAATCTTAACAGATGCACGGCGAACTTTCGACTGTGGGTTTATCGCTGATGATCGAAGTAAATGAGAGTAGGCAACTTGACAAACAAAGTGAAAAAATAATTATCTGCAAACTTGTCGGTTAGCTTTTCATTCTTTTAGATTAATTAATCAGAAATTGATATAAATTTTACTTTTATATGCTAAAAATTAAATCATGATCTTGTGATGAGCACATAATAATTGATTATGCTACTGATTAATAATCACAATTAATTACGTTATCACCGTTACCATTATCTAAAATGAGTTGCGTAGGGACTTGTCTATAGTCCACTTGCACTCGAATTTATAGTTTGAAAATTGTTTCATGCACTGATATGAGATTGAAAAGAATTTTTTTGAAGGTAGTTTAAGTTTGAGGGCTAACCATGGTGCGGGCATTCAGAAAACGTTCGTTTGAACAAATAACGAACGAACGTCGCACCGACAACAAATACTTTAATTCATATAACTTATTTTAGTTCATAACTCGGAAACTGTTAATGATCTCGTGTCAAAATACGATTATTTGTGTAAAGATCTATAAATAATTTAATATAATTACAAGAGTTTTAATTTAGATAATTTATTTCTTTAGAATTGCCTGAAATTTTAAGTTATGAGATACGTCACGACTTGTCTATAGTCCATTTGCACTCGAATTTAGAGTTTGTAAATTTTATTATGCAGTTTAGTAGTGTTGGTAGTAAGTAATAAGAATTCTTTTGAAGGCAGTATAAAGTTTTATGGTGCAACCGTCGCGCGGGCACTCAAGCAGACGACGTTCGGTTTGTCGAAGAACGAACCAGTAGTGTCGATGCATCATTCGCGTCCAGTAGCGTCGTCTAAGTGCACTAAGTCTAAGTCCTTCTAAGTGCTCGTTTTCGTTTCCTGTAATATTCCTGTGTATTTAATTACCTTCTACTGTGTCACTAGGAGAGTGATTGGAGGAGAGCTCACGTTTTTTGAAGGCAGGATAAAGTTTGGAGGTGCTACCGTCACGCGGGAACTCAGGCAGACGACATCCGTTTGAACGAAGATCGAACGCGTGGTGCTCATCCATGTCTAATTTCCAGTAGTGTCGTCAATCGTGCAGCTACAAGTATACTCGCGATAAGATGTCCTTCTAATACGTGCTGGTGTTTCGTTTTCTGTAATGTTCCTGTGTATTTGAATTACCATGTACTGTGTCACTAGGAGAGTGTTTTAAGGAGAGCTCATGTTTTTTGAAGGCAGTATAAAGTTTGGAAGTGCTACCGCCACGCGAGCACTCATGCAGACGACATCTGTTTGAACGCAGCTCGAACGAGCTAGTCTCGTGCTCATCGATGACTAACTTCCAATAGTGTCGTCAATCGTGCAGCTACAAGTATACTCGGGCTAAGTTGTCCTTCTAATAAGTGCTGGTCTTTCGTATCCTGCAATGTTCCTGTGTATATGAATTACCATGAACTGTGTCACTAGGAGAGTGATTGGAGGAGAGCTCATGTATTTTGCGACGATGTGACCTGTGATACTGATAGAAATGTGCTCGAGAAGCGTTCAGTGAATAAAGCCAAATTTGCTACCTTACCATTTCGGAACAGGGTTAAAAGGCCTCGTTACATGAAATTGTAGCAAAATTGTAGCGTTACATTGTGCCCCTGATAAACTTACTAGTGAAATTCGTCAAGTGCTACTGCTAGTCAGCCTAGCGCCTGAGCTAGGGCTAGGCAGCCGTCCCTAAGCTAGAGACGGCAGCCGCAATGACCAATTGAGTTAGGTGATGCAGTAGTACTACTTCTGGTACAAGTATTCTTAATTTATTACTAGGTATTATTTATTATTATCATCATCATTTATCAATTAATATCATCATTATTTTAAATTTATTATCATTCATTGTTATCAGATACCTATTACTTTCCTCATAATTTTCTCCTCGTTTTCCCTTCATTTTCCCCTAATTTTCACTTTATTTTCTCATCATTTTCCCATCGTTTTCATATCATTTTCTCACCAATTCCCCATCATTTCCCATCATCTTATCGTCATTTTTTCATGATTTTCCATCATTTTTCCATCACTTCATTATCATTTCCCCATCGTTTTCTCATCATTTTCTCACCATTTACTCATCTTTTCCCATCATTTTCCTGTCATTTTCAAATCATTTTTTCATCATTCTCACATATGTGCAAGAATTAACTGAACGCGATTTTGTTGCCCGTCAAAATGCATTTGAAATGCTGGTTGACAACCTGCCTGAAGACGCGGTCTTTTTTTTCAGTGGCGAGGCTCACTTCCACATTTCCGGCTGCGTCAGCAAGCAAAACCTGCGTTATTGGTGTGTTGTAAATCCATGGGAGCTTCACCAGAACCCACTTAACTGTGAGCGAGTTACTGTCTGGTGTGCGATGTCGGTAATGGGAATAATTGGTCCTTATTTTTTTTTTGAAGAAAACAAATGCGCAGTTACCGTTAATGGAGCTCGTTACAGGAACATGATCGAGGAATTTTGTATTCTAAGACTCGAAGAAATGAACGTTAGGAACATGTGGTTTCAGCAAGATGGAGCCACAACACACACAGCACGAAACTCAATGAATTTGTTGCGACAACATTTATCAGACCGCCTCAGCTCTCTCAGAGGCGATCTCCAATGGCTGCCACGCTCTCCAGATTTGACTCCATGCGATTTCTTTTTATGGGATATTTGAAATTTCTGGTTTATGTCGATCGACCACGGACCATAGCACACCTCAAGAACAACATTAGCGACGTCATTGCCAAAATACCGATTGATATGCTGCATTGAGTGGAAACCATTATAAAAAAAGCGACTTCATTAGTTTATGCGCAATGGAGGCCGTCATTTATGAGATTTAATTTTCAAAACTGTATGAAAAAAATTTGGGATACTGTTTTCTCGAATGAAAAAAATTTTAAAACGATAACTGAAGTACTTTTGTTTTTATTGACTTTTCAAATAAGTAAGTTTCTGTGGCGCACCCTGTATAACCCCACGGCGGCGGCCTCTGGCCTCAGTGCTGTGCCCCAAGCCCACGACCTAACACACAGAAAACCGTCTAAGTGCTACCAGTGTAAGTTAATAAGAATAATTCGCATTTTTGTTATGATTGGTTGATTTATACCGATTTTAAATCCAGGGATTCTTCTTAAATATTTTGAAACTTGTTTTTATGAACAAAAATTCATGTGGTGCGAGACAGATCTTTTGAAGATGTCATCACTTGTTAAAGCGATTTCGTGCATTTGTATGTATTATAATTTACATATAACTGACTGATATAAGATGAGGGCAATAAAGCAAATCTTGCAACAATATAATATCAACTTCAACCGACTTGCATTCGAATGCCATACATTTAATTGAAGACTTTATTCTCGTTCATTTCAGATCGTGAAAGAGAAAACTAGCGACGATGCCCGGCAATCTAGTAAGCGGCACTATATGTATAACCTAAAGTATTATTTCCAGCAGTGATATTTTTGCATCTACCTGTACAAACTTTTTGACTATTTCTCATATTTACATGCAAGTACTGATCTTCTGCTCGTTCATTTATGGCAGAGATCACTTTTATACTAAACTAGGTAAGTCTCCCGTCAAAAGAAGTATCCATGTTTCATCATAAAAAAGTCAATGTGTCAAAGTAATGTAGAGGATTAGTCTTCCAACAACAAGGACTCACATGCAACAGACGTAACTGAAAAGCCGATCCTTGCTCCAGTCTCAACAGATAAGGCAGTTGAGAAATCCTGGAATCTCTTCCTAAAGGGAATCCTACCTGAGTGCTGCGGCCAATGCTTCAGTCCCAATGAATCGGTGAGATGAAGTATTAAAATCACGATCCACTCCATACTCTCTGAAAACTTATTAATGGATTTTTATCATTCCTTCACTGACTAATTAATACTCTGCATACAGCTTGATATTTTAGATTTCGCTAGATTTCGCTGCTGTTTGTGATTTACATCTTCACGTTTCGGTATCTCACAAGAGGTCATGAACTGTGTTTACTCATAGGCAGAACTGAGAAAATACTGCTTCGTGTTTCTGTTATTACGTTGTACATTAAGTATTTCAACATTTTAAAAATAACTTGTCTGGGGTCCATTCAGAAATACACTGGCTGGTGCACCTACAACTTCAACGGCTGCGGCGAAAAGGCATTCCCGGCGAAGGAGAAGTACTTCTGCTGCTGTAACGAATCATGCATCTGCTGCCTCCCGAGGGTTTAGAACGAATCATATATATGTATGCTCAAGCTTCTAATGATCTTAGAGATTTGTGCACCAGCAATAAGTGTTGCTTCCCAGCTCAAGCGTTCATTCCAGTAACACCGGTCGCAGTGCTTTGCTAAGAATATGGTTGTCTTCATTGAAATAATTCAGCGACAACACCCTAATTGAGACCTCATATTGTATAACCGATTCCAAAGTTTGAGTGTTGAGAGATAGGTTTAAACTATTTGAGCTTCTTCTCTTTGATTAGTGAGATTTGCAGAAAGAGCTTTATGAATAAAAATTATTGATAGGACAATTAAATAAAACGTGGAAATCGAGCGCTTTTTATTATCGTTGTTAAACAGAAAGTACCGTAAGCAAGTCTGGGTAGTTCGAAGGCGAATGACAAGGGAAGATGTTCGTTTCGTTTCGGGAATTTCTGTGAGTTGACAATATCGACCCTTCTGCCGTCGGGGTCAGATTTAGGGTTGGGTGCATGTAATGCCTTATACCTATCAATGTCTCAAATCAGAATAAATCTTTGATTTTATGATCAACTTTTTGGGTGATTGAATGGTATAGACGTCGCGAGTTAAGATTACTATTGACAAAAAAACAGCAACGAGTTGAAACAATTAACCAAATTGAGTTGGGCCAACTAACCGTGTGCAGTGTAGATTCGTGGCATTCATGAGCGGCAGCTCCACAACCACGCAATTTAACCACTTCCCATTCGGCGCACTGGCTACGCGACGATAGCGCACAAATATAGGCGCGTCGAAGCTCGAAACACTCATCACCTACAGAAACACTTAAGGGTCTGAAATTCTCTCTCGGTATAAGTACAGTTCAATATGTCATGATGAGCAAGCCAAAGGACAGTGGCTTTCAGAAAGCCCTAAGCTATACGAACCGCATAATTGTTAGCTCCTATATAGCCAACTTGTGGTATTTGCTGCTGAAGTAACTTCAGATATACTCGTGCATAAAAGAGCAGGTATGAAATTCCCAAGCACCCGTTCTGTAGGGGCTTTCTATTTTCACCGTGATGATCTGGACTACCGGTAGAAGTATGGACTCTTCACTCTTGACAGCCAAGGAGCACCAGAAGAGAAGGCATGAAGTAGGATATCAGCAGCAGGTGCCCGGGCAGCAGTACCTCCAACAGGGACAACACTGGAAGTAGCTTCATTCGTTGAGATGGCACTAGGTGAAGATGGCTATGTAATTACCGCCAGAAGATGAGGAGCCATTTCAAATATTGAGTTCCGTTAATTGGCAGTCCGCTAAAAATGTTTAAAAATCTTTCTGAAAGGAAATTCTGGTGTTGATATTTAATCTGAGTATAGTTAGCCGTGTCATAGGCCTTGAATATCAAGAGAGCCACCCTGTCAGAGGCCAACTTTGAGAGGCTGATGTTCACCTCGAAGAGAAGAAGGGCAAGCCAGAGTAAGAGCAGTGTGTAACCCTGCTTATACCTGTGCGTTTTTATTTTTTAACTACTGCTCAATTTACTTGTTTGATTTAATTATTTGTGTACAACTTTACCATCATATAATCTTGACATACTGCACGTTTTTGGAAAGCTCCTTGTCAATGCTAAAATATAGTAGAAGTTCAGCTCTCTACGTCTGTTCTTCAGAGTTTCAGAGCCCCCCAAAATTTGATGAACTAAATGAGCCAAAGCTAAATTGATGTACTAAAAGTCAGCGGTTTGCGATATATTCAGCTAATTTTTCGGCAATTTATCGGTTTAGCGTTAGAAAAGCTAACTTTCCAGTTAGCGGATTAACAGTTATCGAAGCTAACTTTTCGGTTAGCTGTACCCAACCAATAACATTAAAGTGTACAGAAAAATGTGCTTGATTGCCGCAGACTGGCCATATGCAATAGTTTTGACTCTAGATGACTTTAATAATAATAATAGCGGTTTCAGCGTTTATTAGGCCGTAGGCCTGTCGCCGATTCTTAGCATCGCAGAACATTCACAGCATCTTGCGGTCTCGAACTCGCAACTCACTGCAACAATTCTGCTGTGCATAGCCGCCCGGCCTTCTCGCCGATTCTGTCCAGAAAATGTCGCACAAAGCTGGTATCGAACCCGTACCTCTCAGCTCCTACCTTGGTACTCTGAACTTTAACCACTGGGCCACCCTATAACTTTGTTTTGGAATTATATTCAGGCTCTAAAATTAAGCAGTTAGTAACAGCAGCACTGGAATGGTGAATTGTTCGTAAATTCAAAATTCAATGAAATAGTCATTCATAATCTTTCAGTAAATTTCGTCATGATTCTTTTTCATTTGTTTTTATCACTTTTTTTCCTTTCTTCTCAAATACAAACATTAGTCGTATTCCTTTCCATTGGTAAGAACGCTAAAAAGAAAAGTTGTCTATGAAATCATTTGCTTAAAGCCACAGCGCCATGTGTCCGCGACTACCGCTCAAGCATGCCCAAGTTAAGCAGTGTCATACTGCATTTGGGGCCGGATTATCAAAACTTCGTAACTTTTTGTACTTACGACAAAAAAATTACGTGTTACGTTAGTATACCCCAATTTTGACATTATCAAAACTTTCGTACGCAAGACTTAGCTAAAAGCGTATTATCAAAACCATCTGGCTAACTGTCCAATGACTCCAATCACAGGCTTTGGATTTGCTGTTCCTATAGCTCCAGTAAGCTCCTCTCGACCAGTGCGCAGTGATCGTGGACGAAAGCTGGATGTCTAGTGTTAGCGGTATTTGCGGTGCTTGACTAGGGTGTATTTGGATAAATGAATGAGACGTTATCCAAATGGCAATGCACTTGTTGTGATCAATAACCAAAATTTCTTGCAATAAGGGCAAGTAATTATATTATTCCCATTCAAAATTATAAGAATTTTTAGAATGTTATATAGAATTTAGAATATTTCGTGAGTTGGAGTTGCGACTGTCATAAAAAGAAATAAATTTGTTTACAGAAAACTAGAAAAATGGTTGGCTTGTCAACCTCAATATAATTTTGAATCAAAAAGGTATTAAGATACTGTTCAAGTGAATGATCATAAAACTATTAGATATGAATATCAACATTTGCTTGTAAATTATAGCACAAAAGGCAACTGAAATTTTTATCCCAAAAGCACCGTTTAGCACGATCACATATTATGCCGATGTTAAATTATTTGCAAAATTCTATCACAATTCACCGTGTTGCAAGTAAATCAATAGTTTTATATTGTTTCGGCACACTCAAAACCTGCTCGTAATTCCGCTTACAACACCTCCGAGCAGGCGTACAGTTACGAACAATTTCTTGTACGTAGCTTCCCACGCAAATGTTTTGAGTTACGCCATCATATCAGCACTTACGCATCACGTAAGTCGCTACGTGTAAGTAGCAATGTCTTGAAACCGGCCCCGGAACCTTAATGTACGGCAAACCAAACTTCCCTTCCAAAGTTATGCTAAGAAGATGTCAGGAGATAAGGAAACATTCACCTTGCCCTACTAACTGATTGCTGCCATTCATTTATTCTGTTGACCACCTGGGACAGATCAAGTACGACGTACAGTCAGTCAATCCGAAGTACAGTCAAGGTAGTCGTCTGGAGAATCTCCGACTGCACTGCACCAAAATAATACAGTATGTAATATCTGCTTCCATTGAGGAAGACGTAACCAAAGAAATGAAAGGAAAATCGTTTTCTATTCACATAGATGAGTCGACAGATGTGTCCTTCCAAAAGCATTTTTGCATCACATGCCGCTATTTTTCAGAGGCTGAAAAAACCATTGTTGATTATTTTCTGTCACTGATTCCCGTTACGTGAACGACAGGAGAAGACCTCTTCCTTGCTCTCAAACGCAAACTGAATTAGCTCGGCCTAGCACTCAAAGATTGCGTGATATATGGCTCTGATGGAGCATCAAATGTTATCGGCACTCATAACTCGGTTTGGTCACGTGTCAGAGCTGAGACGGAAAATTGTATGTTGATAGGATTCACCTGCCACTCCCTAAACGTGACTGTGCAGCACGTTTTTGAGACCTTGCCATCCAGCATTGGATTTCTTCTAAGTGGAGTACCTTCATTTTTCTCCTGTTGCAGTCTGCGACGTGAGGAGAACCAGAGACCCTTCGAAGCAATGAATCCAGATGTGAGATATCTGTCCCTCCAGCTTTTCTTGTGCAGAAGTCATGCTCCTGCAAATATACGGTACAAGATCACAGTAATTGGAAACATGCTGAAAGATGATACGTACATTCTTCCTTTTTCACTCTTATTGTTCAGAAATTGAAGCACTCGAATGCTCGTTTTCAAGGGACCAATGTCGATCCCGAAATTTTTTATAGAGATCTATCTCTATCACAAAAGCCTGAAGTCAAGAGACTTTGACAGCGGTGTGTATCAGTTGCCTTTGCAGTGTGTTAACTTCGGTGCCAAGTTCAACGCTGAGTGTCAGACTTTCATACACAAGCAACCAATTCATCAGAAAAAATCGTCTGAAAATGTGTTTAGAACATCAAGAAGCGATGTTTGAAATTTATCCTGGACCTTCTCAGTGAGCTTGAAAAGCGACTACCAGAAAACAAAGCAATATTCAGTGGTTTGTCAAACCTTGGACCCTCCAAAGTTTAGTCCCCAGATGAAGAAAGTCCCATTCGGGCAGCTCCCGCTTTCCCATCTGATGGGTTCAAATGTGCAAGCTTTTGAAAACTAGTATCGGAAGATAAGTCACATTGATTGGGCAGAGTCAACGCCTTTTAAGAACTCATCAATTCCAAAGACAGCACTTGAATTCTGGAGTGTCATTTGATATTTCACTGATCTTGAAAGTCATTGTCCATTCATGGAACTGGCAGACTACAGTCTACTTTTACCAGTCTACAATGCATTCGTGGAGCGAGTGTTTTCACAAGTCACCTATGAGAAAAAAGCATCGAAACTGAATTTCAACTAAGGTACGGGAGTCCGTTATTCAGGCCATAAGCTATGTACTCAACCGCTAAAAGTGTTGCCGCAATTTTGTCATCACACCCGGTATGCTAGATAAATGGAATACGAGTATGTCCGAAAACAAGGAAGATGATCTGTTTCCGTGTCTTGCTCACTTTGAGTGAAGGGAAAAAATTCACCCTGTGATAAAGAAAAAGGAAAAAGTGTCAATATAATCAAACACAGAATAGAAAAGTGTCAGGTTTCAAACAGAGGGAAAAAAATATAAAGTGTTCAATTTGACTAAATTATTCATCACGCCAGATAAATGCACAGTACAAAGGATGAAAAATGATTTTTCTTTTTCTAACCAACGTCTCTGAAGAATAGTTCTATCAAATTTGAC